GGCTTCCTTCACTTAGAATGACAATCTCCAGGTCCATCCATGTTGCTGCAAATGGCATTACTTTATTGTTTTTTTATGGCTGAGTAGTATTCTATTGTATAAATATACCACAGTTTCCTTATCCAGTCATCTGTTGATGGACATTTAGTCAAACATTTATGGATAAAGCTAAAAACCATCAATCTCTACCTACCTTCCTCTCCAGAAATCACTGCTGTGATAAATTAGAAATGTTTCTTTGAAGAGTTTCTCATGTTAATTTACATGAAGATTTACCTGTAGAGAAATGTAGCATGTCTTACGTTTTACACAGTGAAATTTTACCATTCTGTATTGTACATATTCTGTTACTTTTTTTCACTCAGTGACTTTGAAATTTCCCTATTTCTGTATTAATAGCTCCTTATTCTATATTACCTAGAAAGGATTTATCATGTTGGATTTAATCATATCTGTATTGACAGAGATCCAGTTTTGTGGTGTTATAAACAGTGCTGCAACAGTTGGGACATTTTCCTTCACAAACGTTGCTTCCCTTAGGATGGATAGGACAAGTGTGATCTCTAGGTCGTTTCTGATCACTCACCCTTCAGTTCTTAACAATCTGGTTTCCATCTCTAGCCTTCCATAAGAGTTCTGCCACAATCACTGCTGTCATTTCGTTTTCTTGTCACCTTAGTCTCTCAACAGCATTTGAGAGTTGGCACTTTTCTTTTTGAAATGTTCTTTTTGCTTTTGGGATAAAACCATCTTCTGGTTATCCTCCTTCCTCTCTGGCTTCCTTTACGTGTCCCCTGTTGGTCCCCACTCTGCTCGGTCTCTAAATGTTGGGAGGTCGTCAGGCTGTCTGGAGCCCTCTTCACTCTGGATTCTCTTCCTGGGTGATTTAACACATCTGTTCTCAAGAGCCATCTATATTACAACATCTTTCAGATTCCTATTCCAGTCCAGACTAGTCCCCAACAGTCTGCATGACATCATTCATCGTCAATGTACACCACCAGAGCATGTCTTTACACATCCAGAGAGAACCTGACCCACCTTATTTTACTCACTACCTGGCACCCCAACTTAGCTGCTCAAGCCAAAAACTGGGTACTCACTCTAGAATCCTTCGTACTCCCAGAAGCCCTTGGATTGTCTTTCCTTGGGTGTTTCCTAGTCTGTCTCACTTTGTCCCCTCTCCCCCACCTCTCCGCCACCCCCCAATCCCAGCCGTCATCTCTGGGCTAGGAAAATGCCAAAGCCTAACTGGTGTTCCAGTCCTTAGCCTCCCTCTCCAACCCAGTTTTCGTTCAGCTGCCAAAAGGAACTCTTAATATCTAAGCACGTCACTTCTAGCTAGCCTTTCAAGGGCTTCCCTTTGCACCTAGAACAAGGCAGGCCTTGGATGACTGGTTCCTGCCACTCTACCTGGCTATATTTCATGCTTCCCTGATGGATCTATAATGTACGAAGTTCTTTTTTGATTCAGGGCTCTGGTGCATGCTGTTCTCTCTGCTAGAAAGCTCTCTGGTTGGTCTTTTTCACCATCAGGTCTCAGTCACCTCACAGAATTGCTCCACCCCAAGCAGCTAGCCCTATTATTCTCAATTACTGCACCCACTTGTTTGTTCTGGCCTCATAGGATATACCAGTCATTCATTAGTTTGCCTCCCTTTCCAGAATGTAAGCTGTATGAGAAGGACGTCTTCTAGCTGTACCCCTAGCCTAGCACAGTGCCTGGCATGTAACAGGCGTTCAATAGTACTGAGACGTTATCAGCATCCCCATCTTAGGTTCTTAGTGTTTCTTTCCTTACCTATCACTTTGCTAGTTTATTCAGATGGTTACACCGAGAGGCAGTGTAGCAGCTGAGAACACGTACTCAGACTCCAGACCCCCTTGGTTTGAATCTCAGATCCTCCACTGACTAGTGTGATCCAGGAAGTTACTAACCTCTTTGCCTGTTTCCTTGCTGGGAACTGGGTTTTACAGTACCTACTTCATAGGATTGTTGCAAAGATTAAATAAGAACGGTGAGGGGCGTATGATTAACTCTGACATTATTATACAAATTAAAAAAACTTCTTCCAGCCCTCTGCTGTGTCTAGAACACAATGTTCTCTGAATGAAATAAACAGTAACACCCACACTCTTGACCACTTGGGTTGGAACTTCTGTCTGGCCTATAAAACCAATTTCTCAGATACTTCGAGAGAATCAAAATTCCCACAGTAATGTTTGCAGGAACTCCCCTGTGTGCCGCCTATGAAGAATCCCTAATTGACAGAATAAGAGTCTTTAGCAGAATTGGCAGCTCAGTATAACCTTTGGGACAGGAATCTCAAAGAGAGCATGGGAGATTTGCACACTAGAACAAAATACTATTTTCTGTTCATAAGGATTAAAAAAAAAACCCACAGAATTTTAACATACTAGTCTCTTATCTGTGCATCGCCCAAGGTTTTTCCAGAAATATACTAAAACTCTTCAAGGAATCAGTGGTCTACAAAGTTACTAAAAAGAGATCAAGAATATATGAAAATAACTAAGACATTAAATATCATCAAATGGCCACTTTTCATTTATTTTGAAAACTATTCAAAGACACCAGGCAGTTTTAAAAAGGGTACAGTTAATATTTTATTGTCACTTATCAGATGGCAGTCGGGCATATAGTTTTCATACTTGATTTTTCCTTTTTGTAAATAATAATAAAAAAAACCTACAAGTTTTAAATAGCCAATGGCTGGTCATGTCTTCAGAAAACATGATTAGATTAATTCGTTAATGGTGGCTTCAAGTTTTTCCTTATTAGCGCCAGAAAACTCGCCCACCTGCGGGAAGAATATTGAATTGCCATTAGATGTAGTATTGCACCCCTATTTTGTGTGTCAGAGATGATCACTGGGGTGGAGAGAGGACATATTTTAAAATTAATACCCATGGATAACACCCAGTTCTTTGAAGTTAAAAACAAAATCTAAGGAAAAGACTCTCAAAAGTCAAAACTCAAATATAATTTTTTACACAAATACCTCTTAAAGATGAATGCACTCTGATATAAAGATGAAGCACCAATCACAGGGATTTAGTGCTAGTTTTAACCACATCACTTATCAATGAGACATCACATTATGGACTTCTTAATCAATGAAGAACGACATATTTAAATTTTCTTAAAAGAAGAAAATGGGGACATGCTCCCCAGTGTGGAGGGAGAAGTCATCTCGGGTTCTTCATTTATACACCGTGTTTTCCTGTTGCCTGGTTGTTTTTCCTCAAGGTCAGATGTACCTACCTTTTGTCCCTTTTTAAAAAACTGGAAGGTTGGCATGCATTTAACTTCACACTCTGAAGCAACATCCTGGGGGAAAGGGGGATAGAGAGGGAGAGGGTAAAAACAGGACCATGAGTGCTCAGCTTTGACAGACATGGCTAAAACCAGATTCTTTTTTCTGTTCCACACCCACAACTCAGCATTAGGATTTTCCTTTTTTAAATATATAATGATAAAATGAATACAGTGGCAGCACAAAAGCCAAATTGGTTATACTAATTAAAATTATTACTATGTACTCCGCTTTTCGAGAGAGGCTAGCACCAGACACGAGACAGCAGCTCAAACTGTTTAATCAGGTATTTTACTGGAGGGGGGTAGGGACAGAGATGATGGTCACAAAGGCTAAAGTTTAGTGTTGGTGAGAGGAACGTCAACTTATTTGTAAAGGAGTTGTTCAAGAATAACAAAGTCATGGTCATCCACAGGGACAGCTCCACGCTGCTTTTTCTGCTTTTGTTTCAGAACACCTCACTCCCAACAACTCGCTCACACTAGCTTGCGGGGCGGGGCGGGGGGTGGGGGTGGGGCGGAATGCCATGACAGTGGTTTGCTTTGGACAAGAATTTCAGCTGAACAGGTCCATCAGGGATTGAACCCATCAGCCTGCCACTCAAGAGGGTCAGGAAAGAAATGCAGAACCACGCAGCACGTAAGCAGCCAAAAGCTGCAAAGGACAGCAAACAAGGAGGCAGAACCCCCAAGAGTCAGAGCACAGAAACCAAAGAACTTTCCCAGGAAAGGAAGGTCAGCTCGAAACACCATGGGGGCTTCCAGGCTGGGACTGGGAAGTGGGGGCCACAGGAACCCAAGCGGTCCCGAGGATGAGCCACCAGTAAATGGGAGCACGCCAGCCTTGCTTCACCCCCACCTCTGAGACTGGAAGTGTGGTTTTATATCTTTGAGTCTGTGTGTGTGCTGCCACCAGCCCGGCAGGAAGGGAGGAGGACACTACTGTTGACAAGCTCTTTCCCGATAACACTGACGTTTTCTGTAAATGCTGGTAAGAAGAGGCGTGGGGCAGTAATGGCTGGAATAAAAATGGCTACTATACACGGAATGGTTTCTGTAAATGCTGGTAAGAAGAGGCGTGGGGCAGTAATGGCTGGAATAAAAATGGCTACTATACACGGAATGGTTTCTGTAAATGCTGGTAAGAAGAGGCGTGGGGCAGTAATGGCTGGAATAAAAATGGCTACTATACACGGAATGGTTTCTGTAAATGCTGGTAAGAAGAGGCGTGGGGCAATAATGGCTGGAATAAAAATGGCTGCTATACACGGAATGCCTGCTATGTTGTTCCGGGCACTGAGTACTCACTGAAAGCAAGAGTTACCAGGAAGGAAACTACCAAGATAAGAACATGTGACAAGACCATCAAAATGAAGATCATAAAATTTGAGTTGTACCAATTTATAACTGCAGCGACTCCCCTGTAGTGTGAGCATCGAGATGGACGATGGGGTGGAGAGCTGACAGGTAACTACGAGCTGCACATGTCATGTTCTGGACGAATTGTGGATGAGTAGCAGGAAACCAGATGATGAGTTAGAAGGGTAGAGGGACTGGTTTAGCTAAAAGGTTGAAAACTGGTTGTCTAGGGGGCTGAAGCTGGTCCAGACATTAGGCTTGGCTCTTGTAAGGCTTTAAAAACTCTGAATTGCTTACCCACCAACAGATACCTCCTGAACTGGAGTATTTGGGAACACTGGCCTGGACACCCCAGCACTGAGGAGAGCAGCTGTTCACCGTGGTCCCTTCCTCTCTTCCTGGTACTTGTAAGCAGCCAGTTGGATACCATCTTTCATACAAGCAGTCGGCAGGAGCCTCAGAGGTGGGTGTTGGTTTTGTTTTATACCCACAGGGGAAGAGCAGGAAAGTGGAAGTGGTCTGGAAAGGTGTGAGCTAACCCTCCCCACTTCTAATCGTGGCCACTTACGGGGGTGCAACTGAGCTGCATCACCCGGGAAGGCATGCAAGCCAACAGGACCCGGACGCTGATCACAACTTTCAGATGAAAAAGCTACTCCCAAAGCTTTCTCAGCAGAAGATAGAGGGTCCCAAGCACTAGAAATGATAGTCTAATCACTGTTCTGATTCCGGGTGCCTCATACCCCACCACGCCAGAGCTCGGCATTGCTGTGTTGGTACAACTGCTTAACTTACAATAAGTCCTTTAAAAAACAACCCCCCCCCAAAAAAAACTAGAAACAAGATAAATGCTCAGAAGTGGGGTCAATACTTGGAGAAAAATTCTAAGTGTTTCTTAAACCACGTTCATATATTTTATGTCTTAAAATTGCTGTGAAGTGTTTTACATGGTAAACTCTGAGCTAGAGCGTTAAGAATTCTCTCACTGGGTGTGAATGTGATTTTTCAAGGTGACACAGGATTCTGTACCATAACTGAATTCCCCCTCCCCACTGGGCTTTTAGGTAATTTGAGACTTAGACGCGTCCTTGTGAATCAACTCAGATTCGTTCCAGGGGAAAAAAAAAAATATTGCATTATTTCAGAAAGATCAATTTCCCAAAAATGTTGGATTGAGATTGAGTTAAAGTGAGACGACTTTGAGAGTACTAACATTTTAATAATACCGAGTCCACATCCAGGAACACAGTCCACCCATCTAGTAAAATCTTTTAGGGACCTCAGTGAAGCTTAGCAGTTCTGTAACTAATATTTCATCTCAACTGCCTCAAGTTAATGTTTTTTTTTTTCCCTTTTGTTTTCTAGTACTTGTTCCAGGGACTAATTTGCCCATTCCTGTAGGGCTTTGAAAGGCGTACATAGTTTAAAAATCCTAATTGTTATTTTTGAGGTTTTAAAAAAACATTCTTCATCCAATCACTTTCCTCATTTAAAAACAGAAAGCTTGCCACTCCCTGACAACACCCCCTCTTCCCATTTTCCCCCTTTTTGGGTAAACAATCTAGACTTGTAAAATTCACTTTTTTGGGCAATGCAGAAATTATAGTCATATAAACACCACCATCCTCAGTTTACAGGACTCCTCCCTCCCTCCTCCAAAGCCACGTCAGCAGCTCCTTTATGGTCAAACCCTCTCCCCATCCCAGCGCCTGGCGACCACTGATCTGTTCTCCATCCTATAGTTTTGCCCAATCTCAGCTTTTTATTAGTGAGTCTACGCCACGACTACACTTTACCTTACTACATTTCCTTCCGGTAGTTCCTAGCTTAGCGCTCCATAGAGCCAGAGTAACTTTAAGCCTGCTCTTGCTGTCTCTGTTGAATGCATCCTTGGCTCCTCTAACCAAATGGAAACACATGGCATTTTAAAGGTTGCAAAACTATCGGGCCTAAATTACTTTGTTTCTTTTAATTTATAAGTATCATTCCCTGTAGAGCTGGAAGCAGAGCCTGCTGTTACGGAAATAAGATCAGTCTACTGTTCTCAAAACTTGTGCTCCTATTTCTCTGAATTAAAAAAAAACTTTTGTATATACATTATATGTCCATTTGAATCTATTACACCAAGAGAATCTCTTCCAGCCCAAGTGTTTAGAGATTCTTCTGTTAAAACTGGATGCTGCCTGCCCCAAAGATCCTATAACTATTAAGTGCCCTGGGTCTGCAGTTCATGGGCAGGAATTATATGTATAAATTTTTTTTTAAAAAAATTGAGTTCTAAAACATTCCATCTATTTAATGATAGTGACCTAATACTCAAAATAATGAGAACGATATCATTTTTATCCCTCACCTGTATTCTTTTAGAGCCATAACTGAGGGGATGTTTACCTATAGAGATCCAAAGCAAGCAGATCTGCTCATGTAATTCATAAACTCCATGGGGAAAAACAACTTGCTGCTTGATAAGGAGCTGCTTTTTGTCTGCATTACCTGCCTTGCTAATTCTGCTGCGTGGCCAGGTGAGTAGGGGCTGACAGATTGTTGCTACGGGTATGGGGTGACCAAAGGGTTCTGGAATTAGTTCAATTCTGAACGCTGCAAAAGATCAGTAAGGCAATTTAGATGGTGTAATAGTGGTCATTAAAGGTATTCAGAGAAAAAAGGCCCATACGTTGCTCAAAGTGAAAGGCCGCCTCCTACTTGTGAGAGGGTCACTTCAAGGTCCAGAGGTTTAGACACTTTCAGGGTGCCGATGAGGGTGCCAGCTAGACAAGGAGGAGGAGCTGTCCCCTAGCAGCCGGGGCCGCCTCTGCACAGCTACTCCCCAAGGGTCTCGGATTAAGGTAGACAGCAGCTGTCCTGGTTCAGGAGTCAACTCCACAGGCTCTGCCCTCAGTCGACCTCTCTTCCTTCCATGCTGCAGTCCCCCTGTCTGTTCAGTGGGGGTGCTACTAAAAACGGTTCTCACGGTTACTCTCTGGATTAAATGATATAACGCAGGCAAGGGCCTGGTGTAGCACTGAGCATGTTAGGGCTTCCATATAAAAATTGATTCACCTCCCAGAAAGGCTCAGTACCAGTTTCTCTAGTCCCTCCCAGGTGCCATTTTCACCTGGCCAAGGTGACCATTTAGAAAAAATTAGCCTATATTAGATTAAAACAGGGAGTGCATTTTCCCCCCCAAACACATGTGGTCTACTCGTACTTACTGGGACACATCGGAATAACTTGACAACCATACAGACTCGTTCATTCTGCACCTACTTCATGCAGGTAGGCATGCGAGGTGGAGGGGAAACAAAGGTGAACAAGAGAGGGCTCCAGAGCCCAAGAAACTGACAGAGATCAATCTCATCTAAGCCCGGCAACTACCTTACTTAGTCTGGTGTAAAAGGGGGCAGCTGGAGGAGGATTCCCAGAGAAGATGTGAAGCTTAGGACAGGAAATAAGGATGGGTCGAGTAGAGAAATGTGCTGAGAAGCAGCAATCTGGTACTGGGAGGTGCTCACAGGTGGTGCCACACACCCCTCTGTATAGACCCTTCTGGACCTTTAGTAGGCATTCCATGTTTGCATAGTGAGTAAGCAAACTTACAAGGTTGGTGGGCAAGTATGAAGAGCTGGTCTTAGACTCAAGAGAGACGAGAATGAGCCTAACGTAGAGGTCACTTGGCCAGGACTGGAACCTGGGTCCAGCGCCTTTGTTACCACTTCACACCGTAACCCCCTCCCGCCCCACTGGGGCTGAGCAAAACTGCCCACACCCATTTAAATCCTGGATCTGCTACTAACTAACTCCGTGGCCAGCCTCTCTGGGTTTACGTAAGTCTGTAAAATGGGCATGGTAAGACCAAGGATTAAATCAGTCAATATGTGTGCAGCACACAGAACAGTGTCCCTGGCACACGAAGTGCCGAACAAGCACTTTAGTTAAACCAGCCTTGGAGTGTTCCCCCAGATTCTCCTCAACTGTCTGGCACCTTGGTGTTTGGACTTTTCAGTTTTTATCTGTTGAGTGTGTCTGCATGTTAGGTAGAATATGTGGGCTTTTAGAAAGACAGGTGACTAGTAAAGAGGATGGCCATTTTAGCTGAGGATGTGACAGAAATAGCTCTTGATACCTAAGATGAAGCTCATAATTCGCAAAATCACCTGTTCTTCTGAAATACACTTTTAAGCTCGGGTTGTAGTTCTATCTATGAACACAAGCACTGTGCAATTCAGAGAAAAAGGCCAATGCGGGAAGGTCAGCCGTATCCCAAAGTTCAGCCACGTACCTGACAGTCATCCACGTCTACTTCAAGGAACACCACGTTGGAATACTTTTCAGAGAGAGACTGGAAAATTTCAAAATAAAAAATTTACCAAGACTGAGCCCTGGGTAATGGCAGTCAACACACTCAAGCTTCTTAAATGAAAACTTAAAAGTAGGGACTAAAGATCCAAATATTAAGACGAGGGACAAGTAAACAGAAAGGATATGCTCTCTGACTCAACTTCTTCCTAGTATAACCCACTCTGATTCCTGAACCTCAGATAAGGCCTAGGTTTCAGCTTGAAGAAGAGCAAAACCACTGAAGACAGCCAGATTAACTTCTGCCAGTGTCTTCACTGGGCTGTATGTGTCAACCCTAAATCAAGTTGTAACACTATTATTACTTGTAGACCAAAGACCCAACAACACCCAGCCAAACCGCTTTAACTGTCCTGTCCTTCTTTCCTAGCTGCGCGACCGCTGACCCAAACACAAACGGCTCACAAAAGCAGAAGTTGGTCACTACTTACGTGGAAGAAAGGCTTGATCATTTTGCAGGGCCCGCACCACGTGGCCGAGAAGTCGACTACCACCAGCTTATCTCCCGCACTGTTCAAGGCTTCCTGAAAAGCATACTAGAAAGGGGAAGAGAAAAACATGTGTTTAAGTTACATTTATTTCCAACAGCTCTGATAAAACCTGATCAAATGTGACACAGGGTACAATCTGGAGGGCCTGCTTTCAGGGCCCATTTTTTACTCAAAAAAAAAAAAAGCACACTGTTTGCAGAAATCTTGCTGTGTTGTGTTGTTACCTGATAAAATGAAAGCATGATGTATGCTATCACTGTTCTTATCTTCATAAATATTTGTAAAATACTAAGCAAACAAATGGCAAATAAAAATAGACACTGGTATTAAAAATATTTCCACATCAAGTCTAGGTATATAGTCACTAAATGGTGGAATGATAAAGGGTCATGTCAACTGAGTAACTCACAAAGGCACAGAATTTTGCATATGAAACACAAGGGCTTTTAAAGACTAACAAACACTTTTTGATTAAGCTAATACTGTCTATGGTAGGCTACCCAAAAGCTAAAAAAAAGGAAAATGACCTCCTTCAAATCCTTACACTTAACCACTGTTGACCTTAAGCCTATTTCCTTGTACTTTTTAAAATGGAGATTACAGAACTGAGATCATTCTGTTTACCTATCATTGATTTCTGCCCTCACTGTTGACCAAATGAAAAACAGTTTTAGTTCCTTATGAAGGGAATTTTCTTAAGATGTTATTTTGTATAAGCAATGGGTGTTGAATAAAATTCCACCAGCAAATTTGATCAATTCCCTTACCACCAACCTCTCTGAATAATTTACCAATGGTCTTGCTACTGTAACCCTAGGAACCTAACCTTCTATGATTAACAATAACCTCATTTTTTTAACATTTTTTATTGATTTATAATCATTTTACAATGTTGTGTCAAATTCCAGTGTTCAGCACAATTTTTCAGTCATTCATGGACATATACACACTCATTGTCACATTTTTTTCTCAACAATAACCTCATTTTTAACCGCACTTAGTCAGCTGGTGCTGACCAAAACCAGGGCCGGAAAGAGAAACCCAAAACACAAACATCTATATCGGTGTTCCTCAAGGGGAAAAACGCCAGTCACATTGGCTTAATTAAAAACTGACACCTTGGAAGCTGAGAATCAGACCAGATCTGGTCCAGGAAAGAAGGAAAAAGTAAAGCACTATTAAAGCACAAAAAAACCACTAAGGTGAATTCTTCTGACATTACTTCTTTAGATTTCTAATTTCTACTTCTATGTTTTTCAGGGGAAACAATTCACAAATGGTGTTCCCGAGAACGGTATGACTTCTGTAACCTCAGTCGTGCAGGTACAGACCTGCACACTGTACACAGAGAGTAGGAAGCATAGAAATTATTTTTCCAAACTATCACTCATTTTTCCAGATGAATTTCCTTCAAAGCCTTCCCTAATGTGATTTTTGTAGGTCAAACCAGCCATTCCTTCCTGCAAGATCCAGGCAAGACTGGAAAATAAGGAATGACAACGTCTGGTCAGATGAATACATGGTTTTGTGAACAAGGCTGGCCCTCAGAAAATACTGGTGAGGTTACTTTCAACTAGAATATCTTTCAGCAGTAACGCTGGCTTCACTGAACATGAGTCACAGAACCTGGTGTATGTAAGACTTCATGACAAATTCTATTCCCCGGATACTTAAGTTTGCCTAAAACAGAAATGAGTTAAGATTCTCCTGCTAAGAAGCAAACCACAATTTCTAGCTCCCAGAAGCTACCAGTGAGGATGGATAAGGGTCCCTATCACTGACAAATATTCTGAAAACAAGGTGGGGGCAGATAAATAAGCAGTCTAGGAGCCCTTTTCCTAAACATACGCATTCCAAAGGCAATCAATAAGTGTAAGAGTGATTTACAAAGCATTTTAGCAGAGTGCCTGTGTATAGACATTAGGAGTTCAATAAATAGCAGCGACCACTCTTAGAAAACTTTTGATTTCTTCTTCCTCACATCTACAGTTCATTACCCCACTTGTATCTGAAACAGATTCCAGTGGCTCTAAACTGCCAAAACCTCAGAGTTGTCTTGGATGGCCACTGGCAACAACATTAATCCATCAGAATGAAAATCTAAAGTGTACTCAATATTTACAAGTAACAGTCAAATTAGTTTAACTTCTGATTGACCCTGGTTCATGGTTTTGAGGATCAACTGATCATCAGGGCCTTTGGGTTCCAGGTGGTGGTCCTTTTCTGAGTAATGAATTTCCCATCACCCTTGTGCATTTCCTCATTGATGAAGGGAGGAGGGTGCTGTAACCATGACAACTAAAATAGACAAAGGCTGAGAAGTGCTCCAGTAATCACTTTTCTGTCTGTAGTGAATGGATTGTGAGACAACTAATGTAGACCACTCAGATCTTCTCACTCCCTTAATGGGTTCTTACAGGTTCTACTGATGAAGTCACTAGACGCAGCAGAAGACCACCCCCCAAGCCCCCATAGACTGTTACTTGCTACTCAGTACTATTGAATAAAAGTATGTGAAACACAAATGATTCCAATAGAAATCCCACTAAGATCAAATTGATTAAAGATACGCCAATTAACAGACTGGTTTTTAACAGACTACAATTAGCCAATCAACATAGGTGGGGAGGACAGAAATTCAGAGACGCTAACAATCAACGATACTCAAATGAGAGCAAGACAACTTTTCCTACAAATGATTTGGCCAGCGTTGGAGGGAAGAAGTCAGCGTGAAGCGTGATGAGGTGGGAGTGCAAAGAGCATTTTGAGACATTCAACATGCCTTAGAAGATTCACATCCCTTGACCCAAACCTGCACAAGACCCTAACCTGAGGAAACAGCATGAACTCTGTACAAAGTGTTATGAACAAAGACATTCACTGAGAGCCTCGAAAACTGCCTAAGTGACCAGCAATGTGTCCGGATATTGAGATGATTAGAAAAAGCTTCTAATTACACGGAAAGTGTTCAGGCTAAATTAGACAACAAATGAAACCCTCAGCAAACACAAATAAAATGTCAACTACTAGGAAACAGGAGCAACCCAAATTTTCTACAATGCTGTGTTATGTCTTCTGATAGTAAAAGTAACAGTAAGACAAGGGACCATTAACGGAGAACGTTCCATTTTCGAAGTCAATCCCAGCACCTAACAGGTCAGGGCACTCCAGGGGCGAGGACCCGCCTTTCCCCTGCTTTACTGGGGTGGAGTGTATCACAGGGGAAACGGTTTCGAAGGGTCTCCCACTGTTTGGGCAACATCAATTTTCTCCCACTCTTTTCTGGCTCTGCGTTTAACATCCACCTCTTGAGTGGCTACAGTACACCTAACATTGTGTTTAGGCTCTGCGTTTTTCGAGCACGAGAGCATTACACTTGTAATAACTCTCGCAATGGAACAATTGCCTCGGGCACTCTTCAAAGGACAAGTACACCACGGGGTACGGCTGCTCCCAGGGGGACTCCTGGCTTCGGCGAAACCCACAGGTCGTGGGTGAATCACAAGATGGGTAGGGCAGTGGAGGCCCCTGGGCCCAGCCGTGGGGACTGAGTCATTCCAAAGCCAGCGCTGCCGGAAACACGCCCCGCGCCGCAGGAGGAGTCCGGAGGGCGCGGCCAGAACTTAACTTCCTAGCGGCCACCTGGGCCCCTTGCGCCGGTGCACACGAGGTAGGAGGGGAGGGCCTCCACCCCGGAACCGCCCCCTTCGCCTGGATGCAGCCCGCGTCATCGCTGCCGGCTGGCAGTGATGGAAGGAGCAGGGGGTCTCCGCCTCGATCCGCTCCCCAGGGAGCTCACCCCAGCCAGCGGGGGTAGATCATGCCTCTCCCCGGGGAGGGAGTGGCGGCCAGCAGGCCTGGGCTTTCTCCAAGGAGCCCTTCATCTCCCTGCCCGGGCCGGTGACCGGATACAAATGGGCGCCAAGGGCTGGATCCCTCTATCCCCTCACCCAGCTGGGGCTCCCCAGGCCGGGGGTGGCGGCGGCGCAATGGGGGGATCGTGATAGCCCGCGCGTCCTGGGCTCCCGGACCCCGCCTTCCAGGACGCCCTGTCCCTCTCCTCCCTTCCTCCAGGGCATGCTTCACCGTCTCGGGCGTGACCAGGCCCAGGCTTCTCGCAGTCCCGGGCCGAGCCGCCGCGTCCCCTTCCCCTAGGGATGCGGAAGGGCGGCCTGCCCACCTGCGGCCCACCGCCTCCCCCAGCTGCGGAGGCTGCACGCCGTGCCCTGGCCTGCCCCAGGAGCACGTACCTTGCTCTCAATCTGCTTCACCATTTTGACTGCTGGAGTCTGACAAGCGACCTTACGATGGAAGAGATGGAAGCGGATTCGAGACACCTCAGAGAGCTCGCGGAGGGCGCAGCCCGCTTTCCCTTTATAGCTACGAGGGACGGGGCGGGGCGCGCGCGCGCGCGCGCGGAGTGCGTGTGTCGGGGGCGCGCCCGCTCGCTCCTCCCGCGCCCGCCAAGGCACCGGGGCTAGGCTCCGCCTCCCGGAGCAGCAGACAGGGAGGCCCCGTCTGGCGGGGGGCGGGGCTGGGGCGGGGCTGGCAGGGCGTGGGGCGGAGCTCCAGGGAGCCCTCTGGGACCGAAACTTTCCGCGTTGCCGGCCCGCACCCTAGCTGGGAGTAGGGAGCCGTTGGGGGAGGGTCATCCGGGGGACTTAAAGTGCGCGTGCACTGTGCACGGCGGGCGGAGGCGGGGAGGCGGCTGGCCACCCCCAGAGCCACAGGCACCTGGGCAGGGTCCGGCCACGCCGCAATCGAACGCGCCCAGGCTCCAGAAGAGGCCATATAGGATTCCTGGAAAAGACCCGCCACATTCCCGCCCCCAGTCCCGCGAACCCACAAAGTGCTGAGTAACGATTACCAGGAAGTCTCTCTCTGCCCCTCCTTTCCGGAATTTACCGTGACGGTTCTCTTCTCTACCCTCCTCCTTTCACTGGTGAACTTGCTGCTCCAGCGTGACACAGCACTTTAAGGGACAGGCTGGGCACCTCCGAACAGACTGCTGTTGTGGGTTCTAAGTGTGGCCAGAGTGACGCAGTTGTGACCCTGAGCAGACCGTGAACTCCCGTTCCCTCAGTTTTCCTTTATGTAAAATGAGCATCAAGATGGTCCCTAACTCCTGGTGGTGATATTTTGAGGATTAAATAAAGTGCCTGTACATTGATGGGGCTAGTGCTCGGCACATGGTAAGCGCTCAAAAAATAGTTACCATTAAAGCTGCTGTTAGTACTAATTAGTCCTGCTTGGTGTCGAGGTGGCGGGGGGTGGGGGGTGAGGCATGCTGAGCTGGGAGGGTTTTTATTTATAATGGCACCAGTACACACAGGTGTGTGAGTTTTTCTTACAGGTGGTAGAGCCTGGAACAGAGAAGCAGGCCATTTGCGTTGATACAGGATTGCCTGTTGCAGGCTGGGTTTGGAGCACTGGGGATTGGGAAAGGTGCGTATTCTAGCTGGCATTAGGAAGCCAGGAGGGCCTGTGGGTAGCTGGGAGTAGAAGTGGGGAAGCTGCTGAGCTGGAGAGAGGCATGAGAGCCAGATGCCTGGAAAGAGTGGGATGAATTGGGGCAAGAAGGTGGAGCATGATTTTCCGATGGAGCAGCTCTCGGTGCATCTAGGTGTGATTGGCTGGGATGGTGACATTCCTCCCTGGCTTCTCCCTAGGGTCCCTGGCTTCCTTCTCTCTGCGCTTTCAGAGGGGAATGAAGAAAACCAGAGGTTTTGAACCTACTGTGCAACGTTTCTGGAAGGTTGAGGAGCGCAGGGCTGTGGGTAAGGATGTAGACAAGGGACACGTTCTAAGGACAGTCCTAGACTGAAGGAGGAACTTTTGCATAGAGAATAAGGACTAGTAGGGCACAGAAGAGGCCTCGTGGGGTACCAGGAGCAGAACATGGCTTTTCTGCTGCTGTATCTTCAGCCCAACTTTCATCCAAGCTTCTGCGCCTCTCTGTTAGTTGTACATTTTATGTGGGAGATGGCAATAAATGTGCTGTAGGAAGGAGAGGTACAGATCTCCAGTGGCCATCCAGTCCACCCTCTGACATCTCCTCTTCAAGGACGTTCCAAATATCCAGTGACACAATTAGAGGAGGTACTGACTCCGCTCCACCTTCCTGGACCAACATAGAGTAGATATGGGGGCTGTTACAATGACAGAGAACAGGGAACTGGGAGGCTAGCATGTGTGTTAAGAGGCCAGACTCTGCAATTAGATTCCCGGTCTTCATCCCCACTCTCCCACTGAGTGGCTGGGTAACCCTAGACAAGCCTAAATGGCCTTCCTGTGCCTCAGTTTCCTCATCTATAAAATGGGGATAATAATACCTCATGCTATTGGAAGGGCTGAGTGAGATAAAATATACATAAAGTGCTTAGAACCATGCCTGGTACGCAGTAAGTGGCATATGAACTCGGATTATAGGCTATGAAGGGAATGGTGAAATCCTTCTGGAACGATGGCAGAGGTGGAAGGGGAGACCTGAGAACAGCCCTAAGTGAATCAAGTCATCAGGAAATTAGTACAGAACAGTGAGCTCTATAACATCAGTCTCAAAGGAATTTTTCCCCTCACAGCATGAAAGAAAAGTGGGCCTGACCTGGCCCTACCCAAAGAGGAAGGTCCCCTGCCACAGGGACATGGGACACTTAGTCCTTAACAGTTCAGCTGTGGCCAGGAGATGACATTCTGGGAAGAGTGTGAGGTGTGGAGGAATTGCTGGGACAGCCCAGTGAGGGAGGATCTGTTTGTACTGAGAGGTCGAGGCGAGAAGAGGAGAGAGGGTGATGGAAAGGTCGCGCGAGGGCCTGGTTCTGCGCATTAGTCAGAACTCGTTAAGTTTTAAGAAGAAATTCCAACTCAAATGACTTCAACACAAAAGAATTAGTAACGCGTACTCCTGGGAACTCCAGAGCCCACAGATGTCCTGGGAGCACCGTGGGTATTGTTTCATTCTCAGTGGGCTCTCCACCTAGTGTCTCCACCTGGTCCAGGCTCCTGCAGACTTAGGTCCCTACTGTTTTAGTGTCCCCGAAGGAAGAGCGCTCCTCTCCCGGTTCTAGTAACTGCCTGGGATGCTGCCCTTCACTGACCTGAATGGGGGGAGGGGTGGGAGGGGAGAGGCATCAGCTTTGCTTGAACCAATCATTTCCACCAGGAGTGAGGAAAATCCAGGGGGTTACCAGAGGAAAGGGGAAATGCATTTTGGACAGGCAAAATTGGTATTCCTACGTCATCTGGAAGAGCAGAGGCTTGTAGCCTGGGTGATGAGCTTGCTTCAGGTTTCCGGGTCGGCTCAGTCTGAGGCTCCCTGGGGAATTAGAAAACTAGGTTTGCTGTCTTTGTTCAGGTCTGACTTGAAGAAAATGCAGCCCTAGGGCTTCTGAAGCAAGCTTTTCTCAGATGGTAGATTTCTCTAAGTATGGCCCTCAATCGCCTCCTTCAGCATCGCTGAAGCTACTTGATGATACTGCAGATTTTTGGGCCACACCCGGACAGACTTAGGGAATCGCAGTCTTTTGAGGCAGATCCCTGGAGTCAGCATTTTTAAAACAGCATCTCAGGTGATTAGGGACACTAAGATTTGATCAGTTTTGCCCTGGGATCTCCAAGGGGATCCCCGCATGAGTTAAGCTTAAAGACTCCGTCTAGAAGGAGAGTTGCAATGAAGAAACACAAAAGAGAACATGCTAAGTGGTATAAAATTGGGAGCTCAAAATACTATGGTAAAGAAGATGGAAGGCAAAGGAACAAATAAAAGCGTGAAACAGTCCTTCAGTGCCGGGCCTGAAACTGGGTGTGTCACATCATTCATCTCAACATCCCCTAGAAGATAGATTTATATTCTTCCCATTTTACAGAGAAGAAAATCAAGATCCAGAGAGGTCGTCTGGTCACATGAAATGTGCACCAACTCTTAGACCTTGTTCCTGAAGGGGAGGAAGTGTCAGCCCAGTTTTCAAGCCAGCCCATTCACATATCTTTAAATACCCCTGGTTTCACCAGTGACAAATATCTAACATTCCTTATGCTAATTTACAAACTCTAACTGTAAGGGTATTTCCCCTTTGCTGCTTCCGGATTCTTTTTTCTCCTTCAAGAATCCTGTGCATATCATTACTGAAAGAAAAAAAAAAAAGATGAAGAAGGAGGAGGAAAGAACATGACCCTCATCTCACTTCTTACAACAAAACCAGCCGTACAACTTCTAGAAGATGTTGGAGATCATCTTTGCAACCTTTGGGGCAGGTATTTCTTAGGACACAGAAGTCACTAACTAGACAATAAAAAGCTAATACATTTGACTTCGTTAAAATTTAAAACCTCTGCTCTTGGAAAAACACTGGGTTTTGTTGTTGTTGGTTTTGATGAAAAGGTAGATCACAGACTGGGAGAAGGTATGCTCAATGCATCTATCCAACAAAGGGCTTATCTCCAGAATATAATGAACTCTTACAACTCAATACTAAGATGAACGACTGGTAAAAACATAGTGATAACTGGAACACACACTTCTCAAAAGACACGTAAATGGCCAATAAGTACATAAACAGATGCTCAACCTCATGAGTCATCAGGGAAATTCAAATTAAAACCGCAATGAAATGCCACTTTTCACCCACTAGACTGGTAAAATTTAAGTAGCTGATACCACCAAACGTTGGTGAGTTTGTAGATTAACCAGAAACTTCCATAACATGGCTGATGGAAGTGTAAAATTGTACAACCACTTTGGAAAACAGTTTGGAAAGGTTTTGTTTTGTTTTGCTTTTTTTTTTAAATGAAGTTAAACATACATTAACATATGGTACAGTAGTTCCACTTCTAGGTATTTACCCAAGAGAAATGAAAACCCAGATCTGCACAAAGACTTGCATATGAACGTTCATAGCGACTATTGATAGTAGCCCCAAACTAAACCTGAATGTTCATGAACAGGTGAAAACTGCTACTACTGATATCTAATAAAAGTGACATAGCCCTAGCAACAGAATACTCCTTAGCAACGGAAAAGAACTCCTTATACACATGATAACGTGGATGAATATCAGAGATACTATGCAGAGTGGAAGAAGCCAGACAGAAAAGACTCCATGCTTTAAAAACCCATTCATATGAATCTATTCATACAAAGTTCTAGAATGGGAAAGACTAATCGAGAAGGGCAGAAAGCAGCTCAGTGGTCATGATGCTGGGTGGAGGGGGGGTGTTGCAGGGAGGAGCAGAGGAACTTTTTGATGATTAGATCTAGAATACGTAAAGATTTCTTGCAACTCAAAGAGTAAAACGACAGCCCATTAGCATATTGACGAAGGCTCTGAATAGACATTTCTCCAAAGAAGATAGACAAATGGCCAATAAGCACATGAACATATGTTCCCCATCATTAATCATTATGGAAATGCAAATTAAAACCACAATGAGCTACTACTCTACACGCACTAAGATGGCTGTAATAGCACAATAATGAGTGTTGGTAAGGATGTGGAGAAACTGGAATGCTGATGCACTGCCGGTGGAAATAAGTGAAAAATGGAGCAGCAGCTGTGAAAAACAGTTTGGTAATTCTTGAATAAATGAAGCATAGAGTTACCATATAATCTAGCAATTCTGCTCCTAGATATGTACCCAAGAAATTGATAATATTTTTACACACAAAAACTTGTTAATAGCAGCATTATTCTTAATAGCTTAAATGTAGAAACAACCCAAATGTCCATCAGCTGATGAGTGGATGCCAAATGTGGGATATCCACACAACGGAAAATTATTTGGCCGTAAAATGAAATGAAGTTATGATACATGCCACGATATAGATGAACCTTGAAAATAGGCTAGCTGAGTAGAAGAAGCCACGCAGACAGAAAAGGCCACTTTTTAATATGACTCCATTTTTTGGGAATGTCCAGAATAGGCAAATCCATAGGGTCAGTAAGTATGTTAGTGGTTCCCAGGGACTGGGGGAAGTGGGGAATGGGGAGTGACTACTAATAGGTGTGGAGTTCCTTTTTGAGGTCTTGAAAATATTCTGGAATTAGATAATGGTGATTCTACAACTTTGTGAATGAAATAAAAACCCTTCCTGTAGAAGCCAGATGAGTCCAATTTCTCTAATCATACTTTGGAAATCTTATCTCTCCAAAAGGTAGAGAGAGAAAATGTGGGTAGATTATCTTTGTCTGGTGCCATTAACAACTGGTCTAGAGCTAAAAGTGACCCTGACTCTTGTGCGGAAGACAACTTGCTTTATTTATAACCACCCATCCACCAGGAAGTATGTCTTCTCAATGATCTGCTCTTTACCTACATGGATGTTGGCGCGCCACAGTGTTTAGTGGCACTCTATCAATAATCCAACAATTATTCTTACAAACAGGCAAACTTTAAGGGAAGGAGACTGATCCCACTAAAGAATTTTACTTGGTTGGAGCCTTAAGACATAAAAGTAGTAAGAGTTCATTTGAAGCACATGGTTGTCCAGCAAGTCTAATCCTTGAACTATGTAGAAATCACTTGACTACAAAGAAGTAATTTAATGGTCTAACAAGTGCTTTCAAAATTATTCCTGATGTTGGCAACTTTGAGGGTACAGTCAAGGTGACACAAGCCAAGATATAACCACATCATTCGTTGGATTTTTCTGTTATATTGGCCCTTACTTTTGTTTATCTTTGCCACTTGGCACATGTTTGTGAGGTCCATATTGTCTCATGATCCTCCTCCCAGGAAAACAGGGTAAGTCTTTCATTAGAATCTTTATCAGCAAAGGGGAATTGAAGAGTCAACAACAGTTTCAGATGTATCACTGCAAGTAATTTATCGGATATGAGGTCATCTTCGTTTTGCTCATCGAGGATATCTCTACTCCAGTAAAGCACTTGGCGGTTCCTCATTTCTACCCCCACTGCTACTGCCCCGGTCTAGACCACGTCATCTCTTACCATGTCACACCCTCGTAACTCACCTTCCTGCTACAATGTTTGCTTCCCTGTAATCCATTTACCTATCAGTATGGACATCTGAGCACCGCATGCCTCTGCCTGAGACTCCAGTTCTTTTCATTGCTCCCTGAATAGAATGCAGATCCCGACCTTGGCCACAAGATTGGAAAACAGACTTAGATGTGCGGCTATAATCAGACCTTGTTGGGGCCAAAATTTCCTTGTAGAGACACAAGAGCCTGAGAGATGGGGGTTTCATCTCTACTTACTTCAGGTCCTTTTCTGTTTCGCTTCTTGATTGCAGAAACTAGTAAACACTTTGTCTAATAACAAAATGGCATGTTTTACGGTAGCAGTTATGCTAACACAGTTCTGAAACAATTGCAGAGGACTTGAGTTTTTTCCCTCTCTTTTGATCTTTAACCCTTTCACCATTTACAGGAAATGATGGTGTTACTCACACTTAGTCATTTTCTCTGGAAACGCATTTAGAAATTCATTCGATTTTCTAGAGAAATCTGATAACTGAAACATACAAGGTAGAACAGCCCCATCTCCTCACCCATTCAAACAAACCTGTGTACCAATTCCATTTAATCCTGCGCTGAGGGCAGGGTTTTGTGAAGTAGCACTTACTGAACATTATCTAAATTAGTCATAGACCACAGACATAATTATATTCTGCTTTTGGCCATTCCCACCTGAAAACAGCTATAAGCTCTTAGTAGAAATATGGTCTGAGCACCAAAAACTTAAGACATGAAGCAAAAAATTAACTGCAAGATGACTGAATTAAAAGGCAATCTATCTTGTAAACTCTTCAATTTTGGAAGAAATTATGCCCTTTGAGGAGGAAAAAAAAGCCTCGTTCCAGAGTTGTTTCTTTTGGTAAAGCTTCCCAGGTTGCTCAGAAAGCAAATACAGTACTATCATCACAGAACAGTGTTGTAGCCAAATGCCTTTCCACATCTGTTCCTTCCACATTACTACCCCCACAACGGCCACGTGAGTTTCTAGGGCAGGTAGGAACATTCCTTTGATGGGGAGGAGATAGAGAGGTGAGGGGATTTGCCTGAAGTTACAGTTGGATAAGACCCTGCCCAACAGTGACCCAGAGGTCAGAGGCCTTGGTCCTCGCCCTGGCTGTGACGATCTTCATTCTGGACAGTCTCATGCTTGCACGTAGGGGGAAAACCAGCTATCATTTAAACTCTGGCCCAAATGACAGGAACCACACTGACCTAGAAAAGGGGAATTTGGCAATTCCAGGGAAAGGTGTAGCTCTAGTCATGACTTCATGCAAAAGGTCAAGTGATGTCACCAGGACCCAGTTTCTCTTTTATCCTTTGGTTCTCTGGCCTCTGACTTGCCCTGTTTTCAGACAAGCCTCTTCACTGTGGTAGCGGTTTGGCCCCTACGCTTTCAAACCTAATCTTCCAGCACTTTAAATCCAGTGAAAAAGAGCCTTTTTTTTTTTTCCTCTGGAGGCCCAGTCTAGGTTTTGTTGTGTCCCATTGGGGGACCAGTCAACATGGCCAGAATGGCTAGGCTGGGACCATGAGATGTAGGATCCTGTGGAAGGAGCCTTCAGGGAACCCCTTAGCTTCTTTAGTAGAATGACAGGCTTTGGTTTCTCTGTTTCTCTGGGATTTCACATAGTAGGGAGCAATAATTTCCCATGAGAAAATCAGGGTGTGTGAGAAAAGAAGAATGACTACTGGGTGAGAAAAAAAATGCACCACACTTATGCTTTAGTAGCCTGTCATATTTGGAAGTGTCAAATTTTTTTTTTTAATGGAAGTACTGGGGATTGAACCCAGGACCTCATGCACATTAAGCATGCGCTCTACCACTGAGCTATTACCACTCCCCTGGGATTGTCAAATGTGAAGAGAATCTTTGCTTCATATTTGGCTTCCAGAGCCATGCCAGCTGTCCCCACTGTGAGGGAGTGAAGCTGGAAAAGGCTGGAGAGGCTGTGCCCAGCTTATAAACACCATGTTCAACCTCAGCAAACAACCTTTATCATCACTTAATAAGCCAGTAGCTCAAGAGACCCAGTATCCCCTGGCATGTGTGCAGGGTAGCAAATTTCACCATCCAGAACCAAGATGCCTCTTCCATGAGCTAGTCTATAACCTCTAGCGTAATTAAACTGCTTCACTGTTCTCCCCGGTGACAACTGGTAAATTTGTATCAGCCCCTAATCCAAAGGGAATTCAGACCATGAAGAGAGATTATTCTTGGAATGTAATAGGTTAATAGGAGTACAGTTCAATTTAGGATCCAAAAAGCATTATGCCTTTCACACTACACATTTTCGTTATATTCACATTGCTAAATGCAATGGTAGTCAGATTATTATATATGAAAATAGCTTAGTTTTATTAGTTAGGATGGGCTAAAGGAAAGGGAAAGGGGCTTTTGCCTATGCCAGACTTTTGCAATCCTTAATTTTTAAGTTACCTAAGATTACAGAATTTTTTTCCATTTTACACTTGAAGGTTAGTTAAACCAGGAGACGTTGTTAGGAAATTCCTTAAGGTAAAGACAAAGCGCTTAGAAAGCAGAACCTTGCAAAGAAGCCTCCTCTCCTATGACCCAGACCTCACAAGGCAGTACCATGCTACTTCTGCTCTAAAAATGTTCCCTTCCCCTTGATGTTTCATACTGACATCAATGCCAAAGGACAAGTTCACATTTCTGTAGTGGATGCTGAGGTTTGTATGATCAGGGTTCAGAGTAGCAAGCAACCAAAGCGTACGTTGTATGATTTATTCTTACAGAATTTCTGGCAATGATGCAGAACTTTGGAAACTGAGCAGAAGCAAGGGAGGGAGATAGCAGATGGACCACAACTGAAAACGAGCCACAAACCCAGTCTGGTGGGGACCCTTTTGCCATTGATACCAAACATCCCTGGGTGGAGTTGGCTGCCACTGGAAATTGGACATCACTAGATTAAGGTTATAGGATAAAATATAGGACACCTAGTTAAATTTGAATTTTAAATAAACAATGCATAATGTCTAATGTGTAAGTATGCCCCATGCATTATTTGGGACATACTTACAGTATTTATACTAAAAGTTGTTTATTATCTGAAATTTGAATTTAACTGGGTTTCCTGTATTTTCCTTTGCTAAATCTGGCAGCCCCACACTGGAGGTACCATTATTGCTGGTGTCACTGATGTCCTTGGAAGTCAGCGACCACCTGCCACTCAAATGGATTTTCCAGGAGCTTCCAGGCTCTCTGCATCATGGGTTCTAAAAAGAACCTGACCGAGACAGTGGTGTGTGATCAGTGGAGCCTCAGTTATATGCCCCTGCTCTTGCTGAGAGGGAGGTCAGAAAACTGATGGGGTTTATATCATTAATGCCTCTGTCTTCCACTAAACCTTAAATTTCTCAGACATAGGGGTGGGGCAGGAGTCAGTTTCAGATACTAGGGGAGAAAAAAAAGATAAATACCTACCTTATTTTCTCTTTAACACATGTTCCTTTCTCCCTCCCTCGTTGTCTAGTGGCCTGTGAGTTGGGAACCAGGCATGGTAATATAACTCCCTTTGCCACTTTGGTTCAAGGCCCCAGATCTAAGCCAGTTAACAGATGGCGTCTCCTTGACGCCCAAGGTTGTTTCAGGATTGGGCACATGACCCAGTCTGGGCCCAGGAGATAAGAAGAAAGTTCTCTAGAAGATTCTGGGACGTTACCTTATTCCTGCGATCTGCATTAAGAAGTGACCTCATCTTCCTCCAGATACTGTTCTGTGTAGTTGTGAGGCCTGGGAATCCTGAGCCATCTTGCTTCTGGCCTGAGATGAAGAACATGGGGAGAGAACAGGGCAGAAAGCAGCATGGTGATTTCAGAGGAGAGGAGCTGGAGCCACTGGGTGAAACTCCACCCCCGTCCAATGCCTCTCTGACATCTGGACATTCAGTTAGGTGCCTCAGGACATTTTTGTTTGGCTTATGCAGCTTCAAGTTGGATGTTACGGTCCTTATAGCCAAAAACAACACAACTGAGAAAAAAAAAGGTTCATGAATATGTGAGTCATTTTTGTCCACTTATTTGTTGAATTCTGAAAGTTCAGCATGATGTGTTTTGATTAAACTCGGAATTGTTGCTCTCATGAAAATGTGAGGCAACGATTAGTATTTAAATTAATGCAATACAAACAACCGGAGAGCTGCTTCATTCAGCCAGGGAAAGAAGCAGTTCATAACGATTGCCAGGATCTTGCTCTTTTTGCGCGAATGCCCCGAGAGGATGGGCCAGCCTCTCAGCGAGAGAGATACATTTAAATTCTGGGAAGGCCTACGGTGCAAACATAACAGAATTTCAGAAAACATTCTCCTCCCTCCGTTTTCTTTCTTCATGGGGTGGATGGCTGATGCTTTGGCTTGCCTGGCAACCCTCCCCATTTCTTTGGGTAATAACGCCCTGCTTTTCCTCTGAATAACTCTCTCCTCTACTCATTGTACTCCTGTTGGGACCAGCCGTCCAGGGGCCACGCCTGCCCCCTCCCACCAGGCCCGAGGGTGGGCAGGTGATTCAGGCCAATCAAACTCTCTCAGAAGAACTCAGCTGTCTAGGGGGGTGATGCAAGAGGGAAAATCATGGGAGTCATTCCTACAGGGATTTTTCCATGGGCCTGCTTCTGAGATCCCTGGAAATGCTAGATTCCCATCCTACCTAAGGCTAGATTCTGGGGGCCTCCCTCGTGGCTTTGCTTAATGTAGCCGGAGTGAATTTCTCTTGCAGGGTGCCAAAATGCTTAGCTGACGCTCGGCACCCAAACCGCCCTTAAGCACAACCAAGTCTGCATTTGGGAATCACATTTTCTGTTTTTACTAGGCACATGTGAATATCAGCCTGACATAAACCTGTTTATAACAACTTCGATTGTGTGCCTAAATGATCACGTAATCAGTTAGTGACAAAACTTTATTGGGAACTAAAGTATTAAAGTATTTTTATGATTCAAGGAACACATACAGCACTACTGTGTCCAAGGCATTTATTTGTTTAATTGTCATCATAATCTAGTGATGTAAACATCATCCTTATCGCCATTTTACAGATGTTGAAACTGGAGCACAGAAATGTTAACTAACATGCTCAAAGTCACACAGCCGGCGAATGGTAGAGCTATGATCCAAACCGTAACAGTGTGACTCTAGTCCATCGCTGTGTAAAATTTGGCATCGTCAGAATGCTGAGACCGAAACTATAAAACCGACTTCTAATGAATAACATTAGTTATCTGCAAAAAGCATCTTAATGCTAGACTATCTTCCGGTCCAGAAGCAAGAGAGATAAACAGAGTTGGCCGAAGCCCCTGGGTTCCGACTTTCAATTTCGGAGCCAAATGAAAACTGCTTCGGGTTTCCAGGGGGAAAAATCCTCATCTAATTAGTTAGCAAGCATGAACTAAGTCCAAACACCTGCTACTGTTTTTCTTTCACAGCTGCCAGGTGCTCCACGAACAGCCTTGGATCAATATGTAATTATAATGGAAGCAGAGCATAATTAATCATAGAACTTTGACTTGCTAAGTTTATTTCCATTAAAACTGTCCCATAAAACTGGGATATTTTAAAGGCATAGAAAAAGGGCAACTATGGCTTTTTTACACTTGATTCAGCTGCGAGTCATCTCCACGGTGTGAATTCTCTCATCTTAATATTATTAACTCTTGTAAATATCTACAGAGTTATTCAGCCATTCATTCGACTAAATGTGGCGAGTACCTGCTAGGCGCCCAGCACTGTCCTGGGCACTGGGTTGATGGCAGTGAACAAGTAGATAAAAATCCTTGCCCTCATGGCGCTGGCGTTCCAGTGGAGAGTTACACCTCTCAGCTGCACAGCTGAAAAAGCCTGAATTTCTCCCGACTCCTGATTGTTTCCATTAGTAAAGTGAATGGACGACTCAGTTCATCGAGGGCTGTGCTGAGTCTGTGCGATGTCAGCTGAGCTGGTCCTTCCAGGGGACCCCAGGGAAGGACACTGAGGATAAAGACTGCCTGGCAGAGGTGATCATATCTGCTGGGAGACAATGATGATTCATTACTGTGTGCTCAGGCTTTCAGATGAGTAATCCATGTGCTTTGTATATTCAAACGCACTTAATTCTCACAGCAACCTAAGATCGAGAAGCAGCAGCCCCATATCGCCTGAGGCTGCTGCCTGGGACTCACCCTTCTTTTTCCCTCCCCCAGAGGCGTGCCCTTCCCTTCACCCCCACATCTTGGATGTGAACTTCTTGCCCAAGGACTATAAAGACTAACCAGTTTGAAAATGGAAAACCAAGAACCAACAGGTTCTTCTCAAAATACCAAACAGTCTATTATTTCAGAGGAGTTGATTTCAAAAGGAAAATGGGTCAAGCCTGGAAACACTTACATGGCTCCTACGGGTGACACAAGAGCTTGGGAGCTGGTGAAATACGGCCAGGAAAGGATGGTGGCGGGTTTCCCGGAGCTGCAAAGAACTCTTCATTATAAGCTCATCATCCTGGTGAAGCTGCTCCGCCCACCAATGGGAGGTTACTGCCTAGAATTCTCTGCAGGTGTCCCGGATGGTCACGTCAGCCCAGCTTCAGCCGCGCTTCAGGAGCTGGGTTCAATCCCTGGTACCCCCTCCAAAATAAATAAATAAACTTAATTACCCCCCACAAAAGGATATGTTGCTGGATGTTCTCCACTGAATTATAGATCCAGGTGTGTTGAACCGCCCACATACATCGCTATAGTAACTATTAATGGAGATGATGCTGAAAGCACAAGACCTAAGGCAAAGCCAGGGGATGGAGAATTGCGGGAGTAATCTCTTTACCAAAGAACAACCTGCAGAAGGGACTTGATGCTCTAGGAGCTGATGGACATCTGACAATGGAGGCAAGTCTCTTCTTGGGCTCCAGCACTGAAACATGCAAACATGAAGTCATTTGAAATGCCTTGCCTGAAATTGTAAGGCCAGAGGACAGGAGCCATATGTTTTTGTCAATGAGACACCTCCCCCCAGGCTTCCTTCACCAACACTTTGTATTCAGCTTAGTTTAACGTAGATTTGAAATGAGCTTTTTCATAAAATAAAAACTATGCAGAATGTAAATAAAGAAGTAAAAACTTGCCAATGCACTTATTTTCACATATTAATTTCTCTGAATCTGAGGGGAGTTTAAGAAGCCTGTGCCTCTCCTAAGTGTGGTCAGCCAGTGGGGCAAGGCGGTGCTGGGGATGTCACCCACAACGTCACACACGGGCCTGGCTGTTCACGTTTTCAGCATCTCAGTTGAATGACAAGCATGGTTGATACTGCACGTGCTGCGGTATTTGTTCATAACATCTTCCCGGTTCTCGGCTGAAACATACTGACACCAGCTGGTAGATAGTGTTGCAGAAGTGGGGCCAGAGGCATGGAAGAGAGTCTCCCGGGTAGGGCTGGGGGCGAGCGGAGCACACACAGCGGAGTGTTCCTGTGATGCTGCTTGTCTAATCCTCCGGATGGACAGAGGGCAGTTTTGTACAAAAAAAGCCTCAGGGATAAGAAACCTTGTGTTCTCGTTTAATTGGTAGGTTTGGTTTTCCTTAATGATACATGTCGTGTCTTACTATCAAGGGCATCTTTGACTTGATAAGATACCAAATTATTATACTTATATGCTATATATATAATGTATGTAAAAATATTTTACAGATGAGGAAGCTAAGACACAATAATGTGAATTAACTTGCCCCAAATCCCACAGCTAGTAAGTGGCAGAACCAGGATTTTATCTTGAATGTCGTTGATTCAGGGGCTAAACACTCAGTTAATCATTGCACTACACTATTCTTCGTGTTCATGCAGCTGGTTGAGGAAGGTTTTTGCAGCCCTGTTTACTCAATTAGCCAACCAACTGATTCATCGGGTGCCCCACACACTGGGGACAGGTCCAGCGGTGAGCAAGAACTTGGAGCAATCCTTGCGGAATATGTAACTTAACAAGGGAATAGGTCTTAATTGCATAACCATAGGAATAAGTGTAAAGGTTAAAAAAAGAAGTTTCCTTCTGTGTAGCACAGGGAACTATGTTCAATATCTTGTAATAACCTTTAATGAAAAAAATATGAAAATGAATATATATGTATATGCATGGCGGGGACATTGTACTGTACACCGGAAATTGACACATTGTAATTGACTGTATACTTCAATAAAAAAATTTTTTTTTAATTTAAAAATATTTTTTAAAAAGATGCAACTATGCACTCACAGGAAGGGAAACTATGCAGTGCTATTAAAATGTGAAATGAGGGGCCCTTTTATAAGCTGGGAAATCAGATAAGGCTTTGAGCTAAAGGTAAACAGGCAAAGAGGATGCAGGGCGGAGCATCCCAGGAAGGGGAAACAGCATGTGAAAAGGGTGTTATGGCAGAAAGACAGCGCTTTCCCAAACAGGAAAGAAGCCAGAGTGTGGCTGGTGACTGTGTGCGTGTATGTGGGGTCAGAGTGTTAGGAGATAAAGGTAGAGACTTAGAGTGGGGTAAGATCACACACAGCCCTGCATCCATGTTAAGGATGTAAGACTTCATCCTGAAAGCAACATGCTTCCCCAGAGGTTCAGGGTCCGTGTATCTTGTCCCCTAGCTCTAATTCTATGTCAGTCAGTCTGAAACTGTCCCAAAGGCTAATTCACGGTCTGTGGACAGGAATAATTTTTCTGAAAGCCCTTGATAAGCAGCTGTACATGGATAAGGTACAATGATTTCCCCTGCTATTCAAAACAGCTCTCTTTGCTCTCTCTGATGGTGAAACTCCAAGTAAGATGAAACTTACCCATAAATAAGGGATCTAAAGCCAAATTTCGATATGGCAATAGGACTCCTCCAACAAAATACCCCAGACTGGGTAGCTTGTAAACAGCAGAAACTTCTTTCTCACAGTTCCGGAGGCTGGAAGTCCAAGATCAGGGGAGGGCCCTCTTCTGGGCTGCAGACTTCTTGCATCCTTACCTGACAGAATAAGGCTCTGTGA